TCTCAAAAAATTAATCACAATTCAAAAAACATAAATATTAAAATCAAAAAATGTATATATGTATGTCTGTATAATGATTTGTGACCGCTTAGTAACTGACTGTGACTCACTATAACATCCTACAGTCACGCCGAAACTAAGAGGGGAGAATCACTGTAGAAAAGGTAATAATTTATTGCGGAAATTTTGTGATAAAATTAAAAAAAATATAAACTTGTCCAAGTTAATCTAACTTAGTCTAACTTATCCTTATGCGTACAAAAAAAAAACAAATAATAAAATAGTGAGATGGCGTCAGTTTTTAAGAAGATATAACAAAAATAAACAAAAAAATAAATTACAATAAAGTTCAGTGTTTAATTGATTATATACCGCTGACACTTAATCACGCTTTTTGAAACCACGCCAGTTGTAAACAATACTTGTGTGAAAAGACAAAATTTCTTTTCAAATTTACGCCAAGTTGTAAGTAGAAGGCCAAATAGGTCACGTGTCAATTTTAATTAAATATATTTTATATGAAGTGATCTGGACTACGTTTCATCAATTAACCATTGGTAAAAATTAAAACAGGAATTTTACGATTGTGTTTACAAAAAACATTATTAGTTGAACCTTGCAGCTTGTTCATTATTTTTATTATAAATACCTATAAATGTATATATTATTAATAAATAGTTCCCATAATATATTGGATTATTTTTTATTTTGCCCTATCTGCAATGTTCTACGCTCTGTAGAAAATGTGGCGTATGACATGACTGACAATCTTTCGAACGTTTTATCTAGGTACAAAGATGTTTTACGTTTTCGTCGCCTCCACATGATATTTTTGTCAGCATAAGGTACCCTTCTATATCTGAAACGAATATAAATATTGCTACAAAGTAAAGTAATAGGCTATACAAGTCCCTCTACTGGGCACAGGACTCTTTTTTTATTTCTGAGTGGGTTTTAAGGTAAGGTAATGCCCGCCGTGCTTCCCCAATGCATGTTGACGAAAATTGCAATTACAAATTTCATTCGTGCTGTCGGGGATCAAACCCGGGAAAATATTTACAGCGAACGCTTTGACCCAGATCTACTAATACGATACAAATAAATACGATTTAACATATATAATAAAAATTCTTACGTACTTGAAACTTGAACACTTGAGCTCGTGATGCCTACCGGACAAAGCTACAGCACCACACCGTGCAATGTAATTGAAGATGCGTAACCGCGGCATAGTTCTCAGTGATGCGCAAGCATAACAGGCAGTATGTCACTTATATAATTGTCATCTCTGCAGTCTATTAATCTTTGCACTTTTATAAGTAATACAGAACGTAGTTGCTAGACGGTGTTGACATCGGCTAAAATCTCTGCGATCGCCGTTTCGTCAAGGTCATTCAGGCTAGTTAAAGCCTTAATATGTAATTTGGAATCAGTTCCAAGTAATTTAAATTAGAAAATGAGCCAATAGAGGTAATCTCTAGCAGTTGTAATAATTTAAATAATTTAGAATGTAGCTTACAAATCTTGAATTGTATGACTCCACAGAGTGATAATGATAATTGTTTACACCTGGTGCATCAAAATATACAAGGCATGATAGGCAAAGAGCTAGAAATTGAGTTGTTCTTAAATAGCAACAATATTCATATTTTATGTATTACTGAACATTGGTTAAAAGCTTATAACTTAATGTTTAACTTCAGTAATCACCAGGTGGTCAGTTCTTTCAATAGCGAAACGGTTTTAAGAGGTGGCTCCTTAATATTAGCTAGTAAATTATTGTCATGTAAAGAACGTAAAGATATTGTGAGCCTCTCTGTTCAGCGAACTGTAGAAATGGCATGTGTTGAGTTTGAGCACCTCATTGTTGTGAGCGTCTAGAGACCCCCATTTCTATATACGATACTTTTGAAAAAATTATAGAGGAAGTTTTTGCTAAGCTTAATAAACAGAATAAATCTGTTGTAATATGTGGAGACTTTAATATCAATCTCCTAGAAGCTTCCTCAATCAATATTAAATTTAGATCATTGTGTAAATCATATGGTCTTTTTAATTTATTTTTAGAGCCAACGCGTATTGCTCAATCTAGTGCAACATGTATAGATAACATTTTTACAAATGTGAAGCCGTTGCATAAATGTATAATTCAAAAATTAAGTTCTGATCACCGTGGACAAGTAGTTTCGTTACTTTATGTTCACAAAAAGCAAGTAGACGAGAAAGTTGTTTGTTCCAGTAAATGCACGTCGCTTGGAGAAATTTAGAAGTAGCATAGTGAAAAAACTTCCATCACTTTCATACCAAAATGATCAAATTTTTTGTATGGAACATTATTTAAGCTTATTTGCAATGAATTTAATAATACTTTTACTTCTAAAACATTCTCCTTGAACAGTCGGAAGTCATTCAATGAATGGGCGACAGTAGGAGTCCATAAGAGCAGACATAGGTTATATGATCTTTACCATGAAAGGTCATATAATCATAGCGTCAAAGTTATTGCGTCTATAATAGATACAATCGCGCCTCATTTAGCTATTATTTTTAATACTAGTATCGAATCTGGTGTGTTTTCTGATTTAATGAAGTATAGTAAAGTAATACCTTTATTTAAATCTGGTAGTACATTAGACCCCGCTAATTTTAGACCTATTTCGGTACTACCAACACTTAGTAAGATTTTTGAAAAAATTTTTCGTGATCAAATGTTAAATTTCTTTAATATAAATAATTTACTTCATAAAAATCAATTTGGTTTCACAAGGGGTCGCTCGACAACTGATGTCGGTGTTGAGCTGATTAAATATATATTTAATGCATGGGAGAATTCACAGGATGCTTTGGGTATATTTTGTGACCTATCCAAAGCCTTCGATTGTGTTCACAATGAAACATTAATCAGGAAACTTCAACACTACGGTGTAAGAAGTGATGCTCTTAAATTAATTATTTCATATTTAAGTAAAAGAACGCAAAAAGTTGTCATTAACATTATGAATTCTTCCGGGTCGATGGTACAGATGCCTCAAGGCTCAATTCTCGGCCCCTTTCTGTTTCTTGTATACATTAATGACTTACCTTACATAGTAGGAGATAACCATAATATAGAATTATTTGCAGATGACACTTCTTTAATTTTCAAATTAAGTCGACAATTGCTAAAATATGACGAAGTAAATAATGCTATATCTAAATTAGTAAATTGGTTCAATGTTAATAATTTGCATTTAAATGACACTAAAATGAAATGTATGAAATTTATGACTCCAAATGTCAAACAATTAAATACTAATGTAATTTTAAATGGGGAGAAACTGAGTCTTGTAGATACCACCATTTTTCTTGGAATCACACTAGACGCGAAGCTTCAATGGAGCTCCCATATATCAAAACTAGCAAGCAGACTTAGTTCTGCAGCATACGCCGTAAAAAGTTTAGAAGTCTAACTAGTGTTGAAACAGCTAGACTAGTTTACTTTAGCTATTTCCATAGCATAATGTCGTATGGTATTTTGCTAGGGACATGCAGCTGACACTGAAATTATATTTGTTTTGCAGAAGAGAGCCAAAAGAGCAATTTACGATTTAAAGTCTAGAGTCGCTGCGACAAAAATTTAAGGAAATTAATATATTAACTTTGGCCTCTCAATACATTTATGAAAATATAATGTACGTACACAAAAATAAAAGTAGTTTTACAAAAATAAGATATTCATTCTGTAAATACTAGGAACAGACACAAGCTACTTCAAGCGACTCCATCGAGTCAGTAATTCATTCTTGGGACGATGTATACGCTTTTACAACAAAATTCCAGAAAATATACAAAATTTGACCTGCTCAAAGTTCAAAAACTTTATTAAACTAAGTTTGTATAAAAAGGGTTATTATAATATTAAAGAATTTATAGATAATAATAACCCCTGGAAATGAGGTGATCGCTACCAAGCTATTTCTAATTTGTTGTGTTGTTAATTTGTGTAACATACATGATTGTAAGCTGTTATTTAAAAAAAATGTCCCGCTGGGTTTCTTGCTGGTTCTTCACAGGACAGAGGTTTTTTTCGAACCAGTGGTAATAATACAAAAGAGTGACTTTCAATAAGTATTATTTATAATCGATATTGAATAAAAAAGTTTCTGTTTCTGTTCCTTCGCGTGCGTCACGTTCAGTACAATTACATTCATAAGTATTTATATATATATATATATACATATATATATATATATATATATATATATATATATTTATTCATAAGTATTGTTAGTGCAATAAACGCTCTCTGCGGAATCGGACACAGTTTTAATTACCACATCCCGTAACGTAGATAAAACCTACATCGATATCCTACATATCAATTATATGTAGAGGGTCACAATTTGCAAACTCGGCTCCATGGCGCAGTGGTTTAGCAATGAGTTGTTGCGCTGGGGGCCGCGGGTTCGAATCCCGCACGGAACAAGTATTTGTATGGTCTACAAATAATTGTTCCGGGTCTGGATGTTTGTCCTTGTGCAATTTATATTTGTAAACTGCCTCCACGACACAGGAGAAAATCCTAGTGTGGGGGAACTTTTTAAAAAAAAAAAAAGAAAAACAAATTTTATCAGCCTTTAGCACAGGCCCAGGGTAGCCAGCGTCTCGGTATTCTATAGGACGTATTTCGGAGAGTGTGCGCAGGCATTACATGCTTTAATTCCTTCCTCTCCTTTCCACCATAGGACAATTTTGCTGTCGAATTTCTATGCATAAGAACCAAACGATTTTTCTTCGTCTTTACGTAATGCGTACATTGTTGGAATGGAATAATTTGCTGATGTCTGTCTTTTAGTCCGAATATAATCTGGGCGTCTTCAAGGCAGGAGTGTATAGTCTTTTGTTACGCTAAGGCAGTGCGATTTATCATCTAGGGCTTCATCACCACTTACCACCAGGTGGCATTGTGGTCAAGCACTGGTTAATAATATATAAGATGTGGTTGGTGTTGTGTGGTGCAGACTGAAGATCACGAAGGACCACAGCATCAAGTCGCGCGAGGAGGCGGTGGCGGAGCTGCAGGCGGCGCAGGCCAGCTCGCGCAGCGCGCACGACATGTTCTGCCGCGACCACCCGCAGGTACACTGCACAGTGCACACTCTGACAGCTCTGTGCTCGCTCTACTCTGTGTATCGCCGATGGCGAATCACCCGCGCATTTTAATGCTAGCTCTGTGCTCGCGCTACTCTGCGCGGGTGAATCATCCGTGGTTTTCGGGCGGGAACTTGACCGGCGGCGGATTGCTGCTCCTGTATTATTGTTTAAATAATGGTTTGAAGTGGATTTTGATATGTAACAGTGGCGCAATTTTGTGTATTAAATGTCTGCGCATGTGAACTATCAGTGGAAACAACAAATGTTCCAATGGTAATGTAAATCTCAAGATAAGGTGCTTTGAGAGATACTATCGCCAATTGTCTGCTGACTCAAACTGCCGTCAAAATTTCCCAAAAATTACGCAATATGACGAATCAACATATTGCGAAGCATTGTACTATAAAGGATTATTATTACTTGATACTGATGGCTAAAAGGACAAGCACCCAAGCCAAAAATCTTAATAAAACAAGCGAATCACCCGTGTTTTTTAAATTACTCATGTGTTGGTTTTTGTAAATTTAAAAAAAGCGAACTATAAAAACTATTAAAAATAATATACATATACATAATATATCAAGTGACATCATGGTTGGTGCTGTAATTCATGATTTCTCCCCATTTATATCAATTTTAACGGTGCCCTTTATTTATTTATATATCTATTAAATTAAGTGCGACTTCACCGAACATGATGTCACCCAATACGGTAATTCATAGCATTAGCCATTCACTAGCTTAAATAAAACTGTAAAACAAAAAGAAAACAAAGTTTTTAAAGAATTTTAAAATAAAGCAACCAAAAAAATATTTTTAATCTCTGTTTCAAGTGACAGCACTGATAAGTAACCCACGAGTTTGTAATAAAAAAAAAACTTCTCAAAAAGAACTAGAACTCATAAAGAAAATACTTTTATATCGAAGTTTACGAACCACTCCGGTGTACTAGAACAGTTCGGTGCGGCGTTGCTGTCCCCCAAGCTTTCCTTTTTCCTTCCAAGACCAAAATCTATTAAATATTCCATCAAAACTGTGTTTATTTGGCAGTTATTTGATTAGTGCTCGGTATGTCAGGATGTGAAGAAGTATAATAAGCACTGTGATTGTGCCGCAGGAGCGGCTGAGCCTTTTCTGCGAGACGTGCGACCGGCTGACGTGCCGCGACTGTCAGCTGCAGCACCACCGCGACCACAAGTACCAGTTCAGCACCGAGATGGCCGCGCAGGTAACCGTTACTGCCTTCCCACTGCCACTGCCACTGTTCTGTTCTGCCAGACGTGCGACCGGCTGACGTGCCGCGACTGCCAGCTGCAGCACCACCGCGACCACAAGTACCAGTTCAGCATCGAGATGGCCGCGCAGGTAACCGTTACTGCCTTCCCACTGCCACTGCCACTGTTCTGTTCTGCCAGACGTGCGACCGGCTGACGTGCCGCGACTGCCAGCTGCAGCACCACCGCGACCACAAGTACCAGTTCAGCACCGAGATGGCCGCGCAGGTAACCGTTACTGCCTTCCCACTGCCACTGCCACTGTTCTGTTCTGCCAGACGTGCGACCGGCTGACGTGCCGCGACTGCCAGCTGCAGCACCACCGCGACCACAAGTACCAGTTCAGCATCGAGATGGCCGCGCAGGTAACCGTTACTGCCTTCCCACTGCCACTGCCACTGTTCTGTTCTGCCAGACGTGCGACCGGCTGACGTGCCGCGACTGCCAGCTGCAGCACCACCGCGACCACAAGTACCAGTTCAGCACCGAGATGGCCGCGCAGGTAACCGTTACTGCCTTCCCACTGCCACTGCCACTGTTCTGTTCTGCCAGACGTGCCGCGACTGCCAGATGCAGCACCACCGCGACCACAAGTACCAGTTCAGCACCGAGATGGCCCTCAGGTAACCGTTACCGCCTTCCCACTGCTACTGCCACTGTCACTGCCACTGTTCTGATAGACGTGCGACCGGCTGACGTGCCGCGACTGTCAGCTGCAGCACCACCGCGACCACAAGTACCAGTTCAGCACCGAGATGGCCGCGCAGGTAACCGTTACTGCCTTCCCACTGCCACTGCCACTGTTCTGTTCTGCCAGACGTGCCGCGACTGCCAGATGCAGCACCACCGCGACCACAAGTACCAGTTCAGCACCGAGATGGCCGCTCAGGTAACCGTTACCGCCTTCCCACTGCTACTGCCACTGTCACTGCCACTGTTCTGATAGACGTGCGCCCGGCTGACGTGGCGCGACTGAAAATATTTTACAGTATGGCAGCACACAGTCCACCTGATGGTAAGTGGATGCTGTGGCCCATAGACATCTACATGTTACACATTATCCTCAATTAAAAATCAAAATGCAGATGCGGTGTCACCCGTGAGGACTAAGATGGAATGCCTCGTCTCCAGTAAAAAGGGTCTCCGGTTCTCTACACTCACCATACGAAACACAGCAGCATTAAGCTGCTATTTTACGCTGGTATTCTGTGAGGGCGTGGTCCCACCCCGGTCGAGTCGATCTATTCGTGCTGCAATCACAATATAGCTGCAGCATGGCTCTACCACGTAAAGTTATATAACATGCTCAATGTAATACTAATAATAATAAAATATGGCGTTACATGTTTATCTTAGGATTCGTTTGATGGTACATTGTTCCTGTAAACAATGAGCATAAATGGTTAACAAAGAAAGTACAAGTGTAGAGTGTTGAGGGGTGTGCGTGTGTGTGCAGGCGCGGGCCAGCATCTCGGCGCTGCTGTCGGAGGTGAGCTACAAGCGCGTGCTGCTGGGCTCCGCCATGAAGGTCATCCGCGACCGCCAGCACCTCATCGCCGACAAGAAGAAGGCGCTCGTGCACGAGATCACGCAGACCGTCGTCAAGTCAGTCTCATTTTACCTTTTTTTTGTAAAATACCTACGCATACCCGCCCCGCGGGGGCGAGGTCGGGTCAGATGGAGTTCTACCTTTGCCCCATACTAATAGGGCCACGGGAACGCTTTCGCACACGTTCGCTGCCCCACCAGCGCTGTCTGTCCCATGGTAGCCCCTCTTCGGTGGAAGACTTCTCCTCCCGCGCCTTCCTCGGCAGCCTCAACTAAGTCAGTTTCACCTTACCTAACCTAAGCTAACCTTCTATTCCTATGATTCATATCCGACCAAGTGCTAAGCATATTTGGTACACAATGTTATATAATAAGTTGTGTGATTGTAACTTGTCATAAGATGTGTGTAAGCGTATGCAACATGTAATAAAACCCAGTGGTTCCTGTTTAATGCATTATCAGAATCACTATTCAAACGAACAGAAATAAGTTTTGTTGGAGCAAATAAATAAATGTGAACTGTATAATAACTGGTTTATTCCCTGAGCTATTACAATAAATAAAGGTTATTTATTTGATATGAGCGTTTGCGATTTGTGCTTGAGATGAAAGTGCCGTTGATGTGAGCCAGGCCGCGGGCGCAAGGCCTGTGCCCCGCCGCTCGCCGTCGTCCTCTTTAAGTGTGAACAACCTTATTTTAAAAAACTCGACCATAAAAAATGTAATTTCATTTAAATACATTTTTATTTGAATATCGTATCGTGGTTTTGGATATGTTCCGATATACACTATGACCATTGCTAGGTGTGACGTCAATTCAGTATACTGTGAAGCCGTACCTTTTTAGTTTGCTATACTGGTTACTGTATAAAACGAAACGTAATTAAGTACACTGCTGTCATCCCCATTTTTCCAAACTGTTTTCAAATGAAAACATTTATCATATTCGCATTTTCTGTTCAACAAGAAAAAATATTGTTTGAATGTTGTTGCTTTTAAAACTTATTGTCCGAGTTTATTTAAATAACAATATTAGTTAACAATAATAACAATAATTCGTGGAAGCTGTTTTTTGATCACGTGATCAAAGTAGTGAGAGCACCTCACCTCGAAAGCGTCAGTGCTCACAGTACAAACTGGCTGCGATTTATGACGTCATTTTTCTAAGGTACTGCGGCAGTATACTGGCAGTCCATAACGGAACGAATTTTTCACCAGTGAGAGCACTGAGCAGTGCTCGCAGTGTATATCGGAACAAGACCTTTATCACTTCTGCATTGATCGGGGATTAAAAGAATTGTCAAAGACCTCGTTTTACCGATACGCACATAATGGGAACCACAGAGTTTATGTTTCATGTTGTATATCTTTCCATATAAGTTCTCTCTCCGGTCGTGTCTGATTGCCGTCCCCATCGGATTATGAAGGTGAACGAATAGATACAACTTTGCTTGCGCACGGAATCCTGCACTGTAATCCTATCCGGCGTAGATATTCTTATTTGAGACTGGCTGCCGTGACCGAAATTCAATCTGCAGGACATTATAATAAGTCTAAGCTTTGTTCAATTTGCACTATTGCTAAGTACACAAGTAATGTATTTTGTTATAAAAATTGGTTTTTCATTGAATATATTACAAACTACCTATCAAGCTATCAATATAAAGGAACAAAAATGTTAACATTCATTTGGATTCTACTCAATAACGATGCAATTAATATACCTATATTGTTTTAAGTTCTTACATTTTATACCATATGTCACTTCTATAACTAAGACTTCTTTTATAGGATAGGGTGTCAAACGAGCACACAGTCCAGCTGATGGCAAGCGGTTGCTGTGATCCATAGACATCTACATCTATCGTCAATAAAGTGTCAAAATGCAGATGCGTTGTCACCCGTGAGAGCTAAGATGGAATGCCTCGTTTCCAGGAAAAAGGGTCTCCGGTTCTCTACACTCACCATACGAAACACTGTATGTAGTATTCTGTGAGAGTGTGGTCCTTCCCCGGTCGAGCCGACCCATTCGTGCTACAACTATACTACTAATACAGCTGCAGCATGGCTCTACCACGTATAGACGTATTTAAGGACACTCCATATGTTAATTCATCAAGCCGTTTATGCCACAGAACGGACCAAAGAAGTAGTCATACATACTACATACATACATTCGAAACACATTACCCTTCCTCTGGGGGAGTCTGTTAAAACAGAAAACATTGTAAAGGATGTTCGGCAGTATAAGGATATTTTAAAATAATGCAACTTGTATATATTGATTTCACAACAGTTAAACCGATGTCATGGGGGTGGAAAAGTGTTACAAGGACGTTGGGGCGGGTCATACAGAATTATTAAATATGAATTATACCAGTATTTTATAAAAAACGATAATATTTATTCGGTTTGATTTTTTAGGTATTCATGTAAGTAAATAAAAGAAAAATATCATATAATATTATGTTTTAATTATATTAATAAAGCATTTTTTTTAAAACGAAAAAAATTAAAAAAAAATCTTTCTCTTGTTAAATGTCTCTATTATTAATTAACATTCAGTCTTAATGTTTTAATGGCACATTCTCATAGGAAACCAGAATATCTTAAAAAAAAAAAAATTATATTACACCACATAATTACTATTGGCACAGTCAGCACAGAAAGCTACAATATGTTCTAAATAAATAAGTTTGTTGCAACTCTCGCAAGTGTAATATGTTTTACGGTCTTTCTTGGCTGGACACATCTGGTACCTTTTGATTATTTTGATGAACTTTAGATTTCTTTGCTTACGGTTCCCCTAAAGAGTCGCCAACAAATTGTCCAATCTTTTTATGCAACTCGCTGGTAGGCGTGAGACATTTCGCGAAGTTTAAGGTGTTCCGAAACCGAGGCTTACGTTTTTTTATAAAACGCCTTCGTTTTGTACTTTAATTATTAGTAATTCTTTTTACTATCAGGCCATTAATGGTGTCTTCAGTCACTCTTAGAATTACGACTTACGTCGTATGCAAATATAGAATGCTCCTCCAACTGTGGGGAATGATTTCTATTCGACAGACTAGACAGCGGAATATCATTACCACCAGTCTGACAATTCTTGCTCTGTGTCACTGGGTTGAATACGCTCACTCAAGTGATCTTTTTCATCACACTCCAGATCTGACAGCGTAATATTAGAGTTAGACTCTTGTGGAATTGAATATATACGCTGTCGCTCTGCCTCTTCTCGATCCATTTTAGCTACCTACAAAAACACAAATAAAATATATAATATTGCTACTAAAATCACAAACAACAATAAAAAAGCTATATGTTAAAAGCATAAAAACTTTGTAAATAATTAAAATCATATGCAAAATGGCGTAAAATTGTTACACTAAATACGGAGATGGGACTCACTTGCCTTTTTCAACTTTGTGCACGACGTGTGACTCTTAGTACGGTTGCCGCTCGATTTAGAACTAGGCTTGGGCGAAAAATATCGAAATATCGATATTTTCTTATAAAACATCGATATATATATATCGTCGTATATTTTTAATCGCGATATATCGATATTTATTTTAGAGTATCGAATGCGTATCAATTTCGATATATTCTAAAATGTGGTATTAATGAGCAAAATATGAAACAACAAAAGGAGCTACAAAAGCATTCATGTCTGGTTGTCTGGTTGGTTGTTTGCAAGAAGGCGTATCGAAATTTAGGATTTGTGTTGCGTCAGTCCGTGCCTTGTATGAAGCACTAGTGAAAGACCTACCTAGAGTATAATGGCTTTGTATGGAGCCCGCATGAAGCTAAGTACAAATTGATGGTGGAACGGATACAAAATAAGTTCATTCGATTTCTTTATTTAAAATTAATTATATGGAGTGTATCCGTTCTACCCATTAATGTACCCAACATTATTTGTGCTGGGCATACAAACTAGGAGGGAGTTAAGTTTGGCAACGTATATGTTTAAATTGCAGTGTGGAAAAGTATATAACAAGGCGATGTTGCGAATGGCTAAGTTGTGTGTGCCGGACAGGTACGTGTGGCGCAGGAAGCGGCCCCCGCTGTCCGCGGCACCGCGCGCGCGCACCGACCTTCTGAAGGAGGCCCCACTGACCCGAGTGCTGCACACTCTAAATAAAGTAGCTCAGGATGTAGATTTATTCTGCTGTTCCTTGGGTGAATTCACAAAAGTGACATTATATGTATGTCGGAGATTACAATAGAGGATTCCAATTTTGATCTCGGAAATACATCAGGATAGCGTTAATTGTTAAAAATGGTAAAAGTGTGAGAGCTTGCTCTCTTGCTTACGCATTTTAATCATTATCAGTAATAAGACAACGTAACGCACTATACATTCAGTATAGTGAAATTACAGTTCGACCACACCGTAACACGTCTCCGCCACAATTACACACCAGTATAACGTGAGGTAGGTACGTAATTACATGATAACACCAAAATATGTAAACCAACAGCAACACTACTTATCGAATTTTAACAATTTTGTTAACTCTTTACCATAATTCATAAGCAATGCATACTCCACTCGTGATACTTTCATTGAAATCTGTGCACCAACACAAACCAGAATCGCACCAACGATTCTTTACGTATCTGCCGTCACATATGCCGGAATCTCACCAACGATTCTCCACATATCTACAGCCACATATGCTACAACACATGAGGAGCTCTGTGCACCAACACAGGCCAGAATCGCACCAACACAGGCCAGAATCGCACAACGATTCTTTACATATCTGCCGCCACATATGCCAGAATCGCACCAACGATTCTCCACATATCCGCCGCCACATATGCAACATCACATGAAGAGCTCTGTGCACCGACACAGACCAGAATCGCACCAACGATTCTCTACATATCTGCCGCTAAACATGCTACAACATAATAGGGGCTCAGTGCACCAACACATGCTAGAATCGCACCAACGATTCTTTACAAATCTGCCGCCACATATGCCAGAATCGCACCAACGATTCTCTACACATCTGCCGCCAAACATGCTACAACACATGAGGGGCTCT